AGGTGTGGGAGTTTTAATAAGACTAAAATTCATATGTGAGACGATCTAAGATTCTCCCCGTCATGAGAAAAATATTTAGTGATGCTTTTATGTATAAGTGATTTCTTGAGATGCATTTTAGCCAGCAGATGCCAGATGGTGAAGAAAAACATTAAATATTAAGTATTACTTAACCAAACTCTCAACCAATAATAATAATAATAAAGGATAAAAAATGTGAACCTTATCCCGAATATGAGGTGAGAACTGATAACATCTTCCGCAATTTGTTCTTATTGTATAGTTGTCTTTACATTTGTTTCGCTTTTTTTCTAGAAAAGATTATAAAGAATTTTTTTTTCCCGAAACGATAGAGAGCTTTATGTATTAAACCACACAAATGTGCATAAGTATAATTGGGTAGCTGTTGTTAAACCAGGATGAATATTATACGAAATGGGTGGAGTAACGGAAAATATAGCTAGAAGGGCTATTTTAATAGCAGCATCCAAAATACCTATCCGAACTCAATTTATTTTTTTGGGATAAAGTAAAGAGAAAATTCTAGAATCGGCAGAAAGAAATCTTGGGGTGAAACAAAATTGCGAGTTTATTTTTTTGATTTTAGATAAACAATATTTCTTTTATTTTCGTCATCCTTTGCATTGAAAGAATAGCCTACAAAATTAATATGATTCAACCGCAAACCCATTTAAACGTAGCAGATATCAGCGGGGCTCGAGAATTGATGTGTATTCGAATTATAGGAGCTAGTAATCGTCGATATGCTCATATTGGTGACGTTANGAAATTTTTTTTGGGGGGAACTAGAGCTGTAAATCAAACAAAACTATCTGCGAACACAACTCGGTCTGACTAATAAAAACTCGAGCTCAGCTTGTTCTTATACTTAAATAAACTAATTTTTTAGACACTAAATTGACTTTGTGTATTAATTGAGTCGGGTCTTACTTGTTTATTAAATGAGTCAAGCCGAGCTGACTCATTTATTAATCAAACACGAGTTTGAGCATGAGATATTTTAGATTGACTCGACTTAAATAACACCTTTAGAAATGATATATAATTTTTATCACACACACACATACATACAATTTCATTTTATATTAAATAGATAAAATAAATAATAAAAATGTTGTACAAAATATATAACTTATGGACTTTGGTATTCTAAAATTGTGTTTGATATTATTTCACTTCACGAGATTCATTAACAATTTAATCAGTGTTAGTAGTTTTTGCGATTACTTTTCGATCCCATAAATTTGCATATCTTGAATACTCTGTGGTTTCAATTTTTTTATTAAGATGTCACATATCTCATACATTCAATTTTATTAAATCATAAATTACAAAGAAGAAACATCAAATATTATAGATGGAGAGTGAAAATTTACTAACAAAAATATAATGTACTTAGAAATAATTAATAGATAGAGCAATACAATAATTAGTAATAATTATGAAATGTCGGTATAAATAGAATATACTTATAAATATATATTTATGTGGTAAATGATAAAAATTGGTAATATACTTACAATATGTATATATATAGATAGTAAATAATTAAAAGTTTGGGGGGTGGGGGGGACCCCCCCTCCCCTTAATATAAAACGTGGATCCGCCATTGCTGTGATCAAAGAAGCAGTACCAAAGATGTCCCTAGAAAAATCAGAAGTAATCACAGCTATATTTGTTCGTACCTGTTAAAAACTTAAACGTAACAGCGGTATGATAATACGATATGATGACAATGTAGCAGTTGTGATTGATCAAGAAGGAAATCCAAAAGAATTCGAATTTTTGGTGCAATCCCACATGAATTGAGAGAATTCGATTTGACGAAAATAGTTTCATTAGCCCTCGAGATATTATAAAATATATCTTTGAGTGAAATAAATCGATTAAGAACTAAATTAATTCGTATATTGTGTCTTATGCATATATCTTGAAAACTTCATATTCATAAACCAATAAAAACAAAAAANATTCATAAACCAATAAAAAAAAAAAGGAAAAACATGTTGATTATATCCAATTTTGGGACACCAATAATTTTCGTTTATCATGGGTAGAGACACTACTAAAAATTACAAAGCTCCCAAAAGGAGAATAAAGATGATCCTAAAAGGTAATACCCGCTTTCACTCGGGCATAACAGAGGCCAGAAACCCAAACTTAAAACACAAGACTAAACCAAATAAACTAAACAAACAGATACACCTAACCTAAAACAGTATAAATAGAACAAATGCAAAACCAAAAACAGAACCCTTGCCACAGCAGATAACCAATCCCAGCACAATGCACCTGCAGAGTCACAGACATTTATCCACATAGATTGAACCACAGTCCAGGACTCTCCTTCCGAAACTGCCGAAACGCCTAGCTGAAGTCGAAACCCAAGACCCCGGAAAACTCCAAGAATTGAAGTCGACCCACAGCCGGAGGAGCATCGACCATCCCCCTCACCCACCAGCTTCTCGAAACCCGACCAAAACCACTGACCTAGATCTGGGCATGCTGGACATCCCACACCACCACACCAGCGGATAAGGGACATAGGGGGGTCGAATCGAACCACCTCAGGCCCGGACGACTTGACTCAGATGAGCCTAGCAACCAGGGTCGCACCCATCCCCGACCACGCACCACCTCGCGACAACCCACTGCGACGCACAATAGCCGAGCTCACTACCGGCGACCGAGCAAAGATGAAGTCAACCAACGACTAACCACCATCAATGCGATTTGAAGGACCAGCGGTCGAGACCACCACTGGCGAACGAGAGATGACGAGTCCGACTGACAGCATTGGAGATCCACCATCGGCGCAGAAGCTCGGATGAGCGTGAAATTGGGTCGAGGATACACAGCTAAGAACCATCCGCCGACGAAGGGACCGACCAACCACCGGGGAAGGCACGATTCAGGTAGTCAGAGGGCTCGAAAGAATGGATAGGAATGAGGGTTCGCGAGAGAAAAGGGGATCTATAACAATTTAAAGATTGGAAACATTCATTTGTATTTTTTGAGTCTTCGAGATTTCAAAATTGTTGATGTATTTAATTTTTATTGTTGTTAAAGTGATGATGTATATTTAAGAAAAAAAAACTTAAAAAAGTTTAGAGTTATTTATTTGAAATATTGTGTGATCTTAACGTCATAAGACATCTTTTTTTCTTAATAAAAATAAAAAAGAATTGCATCATTCGTCCACTAATTATACCTTAGTTGCACTTGTATCTTTTTTTCTGTCAGATTTGTATTTGGTACACTATCAATTTTTTAGCAATTTTCATCCAAATAGAGGTTTTGGTGCCGGAAAAGCTGACGCGCCATAGTCGTACTCTATTTACTAATTTTCGGTGTGATGTGGCACATGACCTTCCCTCTTATTTCGACACATGATTTAACATAATAAATAAAAAATAAAAATTGCAATTAAACAAATAAAAAACAAAACACAAAAAAATGTGCAAATGTCATTGCGTCGGCCAAGTACACGCTCCTGTAATTAGTCGTAAGCTCCTCCTGGTATTGCTTCCTTGACGCTTGAACTTTGGCAGTTCGACTGTCTTTCGTAGAATCCCGAAATGTTTTCGCTTCTTTCCCTTTTGTGTCGGAGCTGTTCGGCAGCTCAAAGGCCAGGATCGACATGGACTCCTCCACATTAATGTAATGCTGGGCTCGGACAAAAACTCTTGGTACGTTAGCAGTTTGCTCTGAAACAACGACCACTTGAACATTGAGTTCGGTTTCAAACCTGAGAAAGCTGACACCAACAACGTCTCCTAGTGACACGGCTCCATGTTTTGCACACGATCGTTGAATCGAGCAATATGATCTTTCGAACTCTCCTCGGCCCCTTGCACTATGTTCGTGATCGACTTCTTAGGGATCATGCAAATTTGGGAGCCGATGAAGGGAGATCGGAAAGCCGACCTGATAAGTTGTAGGAGAATTATCTTTGCATATGTGACCAATAGTTGAACCGTTTCTGTAATCTTTTCCTTTGATTAGATACTTTTTCTATTCTGAATCACTCATTTGTTTTCTCCTTTCTTTTGATTGGATATTTTCTCTATTTTGAATCACTCATTTGTTTTCGTCTCTAGTTAGATATTATTTTATTTTAGTTTTCGTAGTTAGATAAAATAATCATAACCCCCATCGTTTTTATTTTTTATTTCTTTCATAAATAGCTGCATCGATACTCTATCTAGCCAATCTTTATGGATACGATCCTGCTTACCACTACTCAGTTATTTTAGAAGCAAGAATTTATTATTGTTGGATTCGACACCCACCACGACCTCAGTTCTTGCCATCTCCAAATAGAATGATGGGGAAGTGAGTGTTACCACTTTTTTGTTTTGGGACCCAGTGTAAGGGAAAACATTCGACATCTAAGTGCATCCCTATTCCAATGCAAGTCCACCCACGAGATATAATGACTAAGGTGAGCGTCAAGGTCCGAGCTGCTATCATACAGTCGGATCTAGGGGATCTTCACTTTCTCGGGAAGAGGATCCTGCAAAATTTTTGGCGCTAGAGGCAAAGCCGCAGTGACCACCGAGCTATTCACGCCCGATGGTGGCGGTGAGGTCTTTCTTCAGACCACTTCTCGAGCTCGACTATTTTCTTTTCAAGGCAGAAACTTCGGCAGTATCGTATCTCGTGCATCTGCTCTTTCGGAGCTTCTCTCTCATGTCAGGTTTGGCCTTCGGCCTTTCCAACCATTGGAATACCAACGAAGAGGTGGACTTAGTGCTCCATGTGGGTTTGGACTGGCTCTCCCCCGTTTTCTCAGTTCGTACCCGCTCAGAGGTCATGTTTTTGGTAGTCCTTTGGCGGCTTTGGGACCGCGAAGTCTTGTACGACTGGACTGACTCATGGCCCTTGTGTTAGATTGGAATCAAGTTTTTCTTTTGCTGATGTTTTCGGGGCAGCCGATGGTGAGGTTTGTATTTGTGTCAAGAGGCTCGAAAAACCCTTCACAAAATCTGGGTTTTGGAAAAGTGAGGTGAAGTCAGTGCTAGGGCCGCTTCATGGTTTCTCTTGGCCCCAAGACATTCCAAATCTTCTTGGGATGAAGAAGACGTCTTTCTCATAATTTTTGTGGTGTAAATGCGGGTTGAGGTTACTCCAATATAAGTAATGGAACCCTCTTTTTAGCGATAATCTATTGACGTACGAAATTTGAGTCAACGGGCTAGGGAAATTTTCCCAAGTAAAAATTGTAATAATACTAAAAAGAGGTCGGATGACCGTATTTTTATATAACAATACAACTCATATAATTTGTACAACAGAGTTATTCTTAGAAAGAGAATATCCCATTCTCTCTTTCGTACAATAAATAAGGGGTATTTAAGTGTAAAACCTACGGTCACTGTTCACAATGTCAGTACATCAACATTTAGGGGGGTGTATTGGGGGTGTATTCAATTAGGATTTTAAGGACTTTTTAATATTTCAGAAATCCAGGTGTATTCAATTTAGATTTGTTAAGACTTTTAAAAGTTTTTGGGTATTTAATTGGGATTTTAAAAAAGTCTTACAAAATCATGAGGTATTTAATTTATTTGACACTAAGATTTGTTAAGACTTTTTAAGATTTGGTGAAATTTCTTAACAGAAAACCTTATAAGAAATCTCATTTCAAATCTTACCTTCAGACTTAAGATTTCATAAAATTCTTCCAAAATTTGAAAGTTTTAAAAAGTCTCAACAAGAGCCTAACCGGGCATACTTGACAAAAGTATTGTAATGTTATGTTTTGTTTGCTAAAATTTAAAAATTCAATTAAAATTGCAATGTGTAAGGTGTTGATATCAACTACAATTAGAGCTAATAAAAAAGTTGGTTTCTTGTACTCCTTCCTATTTTTATTATTTGTCATTCTAATTTAATTAATCATTTGTTAAATAAATGTCGTTTTGACTATTTTGTACATATTTTTCCATTATTACCCTCATCTAACTAATAAATAAATTACGTCTTTTCATATTAACTCTTATCTTTTATCAAAACATTAACTCTTCATCTTTTCTCAAAACATCAATCTCTATATTATTGGTAAAAAAAATATTCTTAATTATTGTACAACTTAAACGACATTTATTAAAAATAGAATGGAGTATTAAATAAGGTCGGGGCCCTGAAACAGAAGAATCTACGTTGGGTATGGGCACGAGCACCCACAAAAAGCACCTAGAGAAAAATGAGTCCATTTACTCATCTCATCAAAACCAATGATAATAAGTCAAAAACAGTAGTAACCATTTTCAACTATTCCTCACTCACTAATAACTCACTCACTTGAGATTCAATTATTCATTCTCCTCATTTTCTCTATCATTTTTCCCTCAAATGGCCTCCAATTCACCTCTCCTCCTTCTTCCTCTGCCTTTTCTGCTCTCAGGTAATCTATAAAATGTACAATTAATTAATTATATTTCAATTTGTGCCTTCAATTTTACTGGCTTACATGTTTGAATCAATTTCTTGGTTCCAATCATTAATTGACAGCCGCATTGTACTTCCCGGCGGCGTCCGGCCGCGGCTTCTGCATCAACTACGGCCGCATCGCCGACAACCTCCCCCCGCCGGAGCAGGTCGCCGGCCTCGTCAAGTCCATCCACGCCGCCCGCATCCGCCTCTACGACGCCGACCCCCGCGTCCTCCGCGCCTTCGCTGGCACCGGCGTCGAGGTCACCGTCGGCCTCGGCAACGAGCACCTCGCCTCCATGCGGGACCCCTCCGCCGCCCTCGCCTGGGTCCGCTCAAACGTCTCCTGCTACCTCCCCGCCACCAAAATCACCTCCATCAACGTCGGCAACGAGGTCCTCACCGCCAACGGCACCGCCGCCCCTGCCGCCTCCCCCGACGACCTCCTCGCCGCCGTGGAGAACATCCACACCGCCCTCACTACCCTAGGCCTCGACCGGCGCGTGTCCGTCACGACAGCGCACAATTTGGGGATCCTCGACGCCTCCTACCCGCCGTCGTCCGGGAAATTCCGAGACGATCTGGAGCCGGTCCTCCGCCGCCTCCTCGACTTCCACTGCACCTCCGGCTCGCCATTCATGATAAACGCGTACCCTTACTTCGCGTACAGGGACAATCCGGGACACGTGTCCCTGAAGTTCGCGCTCTTCGAGGGGGACGGCATCGTGGACCCCATAACGGACTTGAAATACGAAAACATGTTCGAGGCCCAAATCGACGCGGCCCACGCCGCGATGGAGAAGCTAGGGTACAGGAATGTGTGCCTGCAGGTGTCGGAGACGGGCTGGCCGTCGAGGGGAGACGGCGGCGAGGCGGGGGCGACACCGGAGAACGCGAAGGCGTACAATAAAAACCTGCTTCGGCGGATTAATCAGAATGGGGGGACGCCGATGAGGCCCGATATGGATCTGAATGTTTATTTCTTCGCGCTGTTCAACGAGAATCAGAAGCCCGGACCCGCGTCGGAGAAGAATTTCGGGCTGTTCAACCCGGATATGACGCCGGTGTACGATCTAGGGTTCAATTCGAAAGGATCCGGCGGAACGACGCCGTCTGGGTCGCCGGTGGTGGTAATGTCTCCCCCGGACGGTGGGTACATGGTTGACGGCGCGGTGAGTTTTTTCTTTTATTCCCAACNCTAAATACTGCCTCTTTTGCTGATTTTTAGCTCTGCTTTAATGGCGCTTTATTTTATTTTTCATATGATAACACATAGAATTTTTTATTTTTTTTCATTCATTTTGGCCAAATTAAGGGACAGCCGTTCAGGTAAACGGCCGTCGGAAAATTGCCTAACCCTAGTCTAGGATTAGTATCGATAATTTGATACAGAATATCATAAGACTCCCAATTTGTGTAATTGTGTTAGGCTGTCTAACCATTAGGCACCCACAAAACTCCGAATTCGTGTAATATTCTTCAGACAAAAAAAAGGTGGAGATTTAATTTCAAATTTTCAAGTGGTGGCCGGAAAATTGATAAGAAAAGCTATAATTGACGAAATGATGAAAGATGAATCATACAAAATACCAGTTGGCTGGCGTGCCTGTTCTGTGTTGTGAGTATGGGCCAATTTAGAAATATTTAATTTATGATTGAGCCACCACATTTTAGAGTTCTACAATTTTTGGTCCCAACTGTCCCATGTGATACATGTCTGGTTCATAATTCTCGGTAGTTATGGTAGATTCATACTATTCGAATAAAAATGCATATCAACACTATCAAATGTCATATTTTTATGTTAGTTTTTTAAACTATGAACATTTATAAGTTAATAAGTATGTTGGGTTAATGAATTACTTTCCGGTAAGTATGTTGTGCGTTGGATTGGATTATTAAGTGCGTGATTGGATATGGATTTAGCTAGTTTTTATACTGTCATTTTTACATTAATTATTTTTTTAACTCAACTTTAACTCAATCTACTATTCTTAATATTATCAGTATAATTAAATATTATCATTCAATCATCCTTACACATAATTTTAACTCACATAATATTATTCAACTTTAACTCACATAATTTTATCTACTCATCAATTACAATCACCTTTCTCATATTGTTAAATCATATCGACTTTAATTATTTTATTTTTAATATTATTTCATGCAAACTCAAAACCTCACACAAATTTAACCCAACCACTTTTTTAATATTAACTTGGTTAACCAAAAAGACCAATCAAAACTCAATCAAATCTATATCTTTTCAGTCCCTGTAGAACAAGAATTTTTCTCATCAAAAGCTAGTGAAAAGAAAGATTTGTGGTCTCTAATCAGTCTTTTTAGATTTTAGCTTGGAGAATAAAAGAAGTCTTTCTAACAACAATAATTACACTCCATATTAATAATTACAACATTTTTGTAGTGTCCATCATAGTAATTTTTGTTGGAGCTTATTTGTTGTTTTCTTTCAAGGAAGTTGAATAATTACCCCCAAATTTAGATTCTTGGACAAAGGAAAAGGAAATGTGGACCACAAGTTCACTAGATTGCTTTTAAGATGATGCCTTCTTCATATTCAATGGTTATCTGTAATTTTGTCTGGTGATGAATATTGAGTTGGTACAATATAAATAGGCCTCCATCCTAGCCTAGGTCTATTCTAAGATACATCTACCTATTAGATTATTCTACTTTTTCACAAAAAAAATGCATAGTTTCAAACAACGAATCAACCAGCCTAACTGTTAGACCGCCTCACAGATAATTTGTGAAAATCAAATTTGCAAAACCCGTTGATCTTAAATTTATATGGTGTGTCTCAATTACAGGAGGGACATAGACTCACTAGAGAAGGTGCATTGTTGTCTGTTTCGTGCTTGGTGGTTTCGTTAATTTTCTTACGCTACAATTCTGGTTTCTTTTGAAACGATAATTGAAGATGGAACCATTGAGTTCAGATGATGGAGTTCGAAAAGAGAGGAATAATAGAGATTCGTCAAAAGTTTCTATTCCTTTTGCATATAAGCAAGCAAATAAGAAAGAAACAAGTTCTTGGTTTCTTTTCAAATCACCTTGCCTTCTTTGATAGCTTTGGAGCACTAAAAGTTGCAAGGACAAATAGAAATTGGCCGTCTCTATTCTATTGAGGCTGTGGGTCAAGTGGGCCGCGATATTCTTTTCTCTTTTTAGCTGGCAATTATGCCTTGCTCTTTTCTTTCCCCAGTGTACTTTTTAGCCATTGGTATGAAAATATTTAATTTTTCTTTTAATTTGAGGGTTAGCCATTCTTATTGTTGTAATTTGTTAATGGTATTGAAACCAGACTTGAAGAGTTTTTTCATATTATTATTATTATTTGAAAATAGTGTATTTTTGAGTTATGAAATAATGGTGAAGATAATTAGAAAGGA